TTAACAAAGCTACAAGCTAGCTATTTGAAAAGACTAAATAGAAATAGATAAGATTAAGAAAAAAACAAAAAACAGCCAAAATACACAATGCGATGTATGTAACTTCCAAGTGAATACAGGAAAGAAAGGAAAAATTTCTTAAGTCCCAGTGGGTTCAAAAGAAGAAAGAAGGCCAGGCACGGTGGCTCAACACCTGTAATCCCAGCACTTTGGGAGGCTGAGGCAGGAGGATCACCTGAGGTCAGGAGTTTGAGACCAGCCTGACCAATAGGGTGAAACCCCATCTCTACTAAAAATACAAAAATTAGCCAGGCATGGTGGTGCGCACCGTAATCCCAGCAACTCAGGAGGCTGAGGCAGGAGAATCACTTGAACCTGGGAGGTGGAGGTTGCAGTGAGCAGAGATTGCACCACTGCACTGCAGCGGGGATGACAGAGTGAGACTCCATTAGAAGAAAGAAAAGAAAAGACAAGAGAGGAAGGAAGGGAGGGAGGGAGGGAGGGAGGGAGGAAGGAAGGAAGGAAGGAAGGAAGGAAGGAAGGAAGGAAGGAAGGAAGGAAGGAAGGAAGGAAGGGAGAAAGCAGGATGTATTCAAGAAGAAATAGAGGATGTGAGTTAATAACCATTCAAAGAGCTATGTTGTCCCAAAATCCTTCACCTCACAAACCACAAAAGGTAGTAGTAACAGAGTTTACAGGTGAATCTTAAAAAACTTTCAGGATAAAGATAATTCTTGTGCAAAATATTTTCAATAACTAAGAAAAGAAGATTTACTCACTTTATGAGCTTATTATAAGATTGATTCAAAACTGGACAAGAATACTAACAAAATAAAATTTTAAATGAGTTTTGCTTATAACATAAACACATTTGAAATAAAACACTAGCAAATAAAGTCTAGCAATCTGTGTGTATGTAATGTGTGCATCTCTCAGAGCCAAGCAGAGTTTGTACCAGAACCATATGGCTGCTTGACTATCAGAAAAATTGTCGATGTAATTCAGCAATTCAAAAGAAGGGTGAAGAAAAACCACATTGTCCCCTCAACAGATGCAGTAGCAGCTCTCAACAAAACTCACGATTATTTCTGATTAAATTCTTTGCATTTTAAATGAACCAGTTGTCAATTTACTGCCTCTCAGCTTCAAATTCACCCTTCAATACCAGCTCTGCAATAAGGCACAGGGCCCTCTAAGCATCTTCTCCTCTACAGTGAGTGTGATGGTAAGCTTGCCACAAGATGGTGGAGGCAGGCCCTCAGGAGGACGGGGCCTCTGATTCTGGAGCAGTTTTGCATTCCTATGGTCATACAGGGTGGCTGGTCAGTTGTATACAGGTATGAGGACAACCATGGTGTTTCCTTTTAAAGGGTGAATTGCTTGAGTCCAGGAGTTTGAGACCAGTCCAGGCAACAAGGCGAAACTCCATCTCTACAAACAATTCAAAAAACTAGCCTGGTGTGGTGGCATGCACCTGTGGCCCCAGCTATTCAGGAGGCTGAGGCAGGAGCATCACCTGAGCCAGAGAAGTAGAAGCTGCCATGAGCTGAGATCGGGCCACTGCACTCCAGCCCAAGCAACAAACAGAGCGAGACCCTGTCTCAAAAAAAAAAAAAAAAAGCATGTATCTGTAAGTACATATTTACCCGTAAGTGTGCCTTAAGCTTCTGTCATTAAACTGAGTGCTCCCAAGGGCTCCTGGTGTTCCTTCACTAGACGGACAGATTCCTGAGGAAATAACCTTCTCCCTTGAGATTCTCCCACGAACCCCTATCCAAGTTTTTGATCACAGAGCAAGCTCAGCATGAGACGTTAAGTGACAACTGGACGCTTAAGCATAAAACGTATGTGCTGGAAACGACTGTGCGGAAGGGCAAGTCCTCACGCTGGGCCCCCAAAATCGGAGGCTCTTGCTACCCTGCGCTTGTCGGGGAACAAGATCCCGGAGGTGAGGGCAGCACTCACGTGGTGACAGTATTGAAGCCACAGGCCCTCAGCTTCAGCAGACGGTCCCTCCAGTACTCCCTGGGCACCCGGAAATAGTGGATGGAGCCCCCGCAGATGAGGAACCTGTGGCCCTCCAGCGTGAAGTGCGGCTTACCCCGACCTGTGCTCGCAGTTCCGAGTCCCACAGATCGATTCTTCAGCTCCAGAGGGGTCAGATGAGACCAGTTAAACCTGGAGGGCGCGGGCGAGGGAAAGAAAGTGGAAAGGGAGAGAGAACTCGGGAGAGGGCTCGGAGGGACGGCTGAAACCCTAGCGAAAAACAGAAGTTCTTGTTAGTAGGACGTGTTCTGTGCACAATCGCGATATGATTCTCTCCAAGAAAGGTGAGGTCGCTCCCCTCCCGCCCCGGGAATGCGGCTCTCAGGCAAACCTGGGCTGGGGCGGATGCGCTGTTCCAAGCCTGAGGCTCTCTTCCTGCTTAAACCGAGGAGCAAAAGCTGGTAAGATAAACGGCAGGAAGAAGACGCCCACCATTCTCTTCCAGGAGAGGCACGGGCTGGAAGGAGAAAGGAGAACAGTGACAAGGGGAAGGTGCTGGCCCCACCAAGCGCCGAGGGCCGCGAACCTGTGCCGGGGGCGCTTTAGGGGCCGGAGCCAGGGAGCGGGCCCGCGACACAGGCGGCTCTTCTGGGCGGGCCCAGGGCCAGGAGAGCGCAGCATGGAGGCCGGGGACAGACGTTCAGTCCTAGACCCTAGAGACGGGGCTGGGCACTGCGGGTGGGTGTCTGGGAGAGGTGGAGGCGGGCGCACTCCACCACCAGGTTCAGGAAGGACACGGTGTCCAGCCGCTGGAGCCCCCGGCCTGCGTCCCCAGCCCTGATTTTCTGGCATCTGGTGAACAGCCCCTCCGCAGGGTGGGGGTAGCAAGGGGGTCTGCAGAGGAAAGCTGCGGAGAGCGGGCTTAATGACGCGGCTTGGTGCGGCGCACGCCTGGGGCGCCTGGCTGGCCACAGAACCCGGGGAGGGCGGGAGGCTCCGAGGCACGCGCTGGGTGGTGGGTAGCCCGGGAGGGCGCGCTGGGCCGCCGCCGGGGCAGCGGGGATCCGTCACCTGAGGAGGGGCGGGGACTTCATCGCGGCGAAGCCGAGAAGCGGAGGGTCCCTTGCGGCCGCCGCCCCTCTCCGCTGCCCCCGACGCCGCGCTCGGGCCGGGACTCGAACCCGGTTCCGCGGGGCCGGCTCAGGTCTGCGCGCTGCGCGTGTAGCCGAAGCAGAAATCCGTTCGCAGGCGCGGACGGCGGATCCGGGTCCCAGGAATGCGCGTCGGGCTCCGCACCGCGAGGACAGCCGAGCTGCGCCTGCGCTCCAGGTGTCCCCGCAGGTGGTTCGGGCGCCGACGCCTCTCCGCCCTCGGAGGGAACGCGGGAGGGCCCTTGGGTTAACGCCCCGACCTTGGGCTTCCTGACCTGGGTGCACAGCCAGCTGGCACAGAAAGGCCGGCGTGTGGGAGAGAGGCGGAGAGAGCCCAGCGCTGGGCAGGGCCGGCAGCCTCCGTGCTGCGCGCACGACTGGAAACGACCTGCAGATCCTAAAACAAGGATTCCACAGACGGCCACGAAGTACAGGGGAGAGTCCCTGGAGAATTCTAGTTTCCCCACACTGCTACCTCGTGGTAAACGAGTGAGAATTAGAGCGCAGAGCTTTGGGAAGGCGGTTCCCTCGGCGGGAGCGCCTGAGCACAGCTTCACGCAGGTGCAAGCGCTGAGGATGCTTTGGTGACAAAGTAGCGAGACCTGCAGGAGGCAGGCCCGGGGGGGCTGTGGACGCAACGGGGAGCTGCTCAGACCCTTCCAGAAAACAGGGGGGACTATTCAACGGTTTCCAGCAGAAACTAAGCCAGGTGTTCGTTTTACGGAGATTACTGGCTGCAGGGTGGAGGCTAGATGGGAACAGACCTCCTCTCATGGTGGTTAGTAACGCTGCCCAAGAGGAGGGCACGGGTCCGGGAAGACTTGGGAGGTTAAACCAGCAGCTCCGAATAACTGAGCTCATGAGGTCGGTGATACTGGCAGGTCTCTGAGCCAAAGCTAAGCCATCATATCCCCTGTGACCTGCACGTACACATCCAGATGGCGGGTTCCTGCCTTAACTGATGACATTCCACCACAAAAGAAGTGAAAATGGCCTGTTCCTGCCTTAACTGTTGTCATTACCTTGTGAAATTCCTTTTCCTGGCTCAAAAGCTTCCCCACTGAGCTTGTGACCCCCACACCTGCCCGCCAGAGAACAACCCCCTTTGACTGTAATTTTCCTTTACCGACCCAAACCCTATAAAACGGCCCTCCCCCCATCTCCCTTCGCTGACTCCTTTTTCAGACTCAGCCGGCCTTCACCCAGGTGAAATAAACAGCCATGTTGCTCACACAAAGCCTGTTTGGTGGTCTCTTCATAGGGATGGGCATGAAATTTGGTGCCCTGACTCGGATGGGGGACCTCCCTTGAGAGATCAATCCCCTGTCCTCCTCCTCTTTGCTCCGTGAGAAAGATCCACCTACGACCTCGGGTCCTCAGACCCACCAGCCCAAGGAACATCTCAGCAATTTTAAATCTGGTAAGTGGCCTCTTTTTACTCTCTTCTCCGACGTCTCTCACTATCCCTCAACCTCTTTCTCTTTCAATCTTGACGCCACACTTCAATTTCTCCCTTCTCTTAATTTCAATTCCTTTCATTTTCTGGTAGAGGCAAAGGAGACACATTTTATCCGTGGACCCAAAACTCCGGCGCCGGTCACCGACTAGGGAAGGCAGTCTTCCCTTGGTGTTTAATCATTGCAGGGACTCCTCTCTGATTATTCACCCGTGTTCCATTGGTGTCTGATCTCCGCGGGGACGCCTGCCTTGATCATTCACCCACGTTCCCTTGGTGGCAAGTCAATTGCGGGGACGCCTGCTTTGGCTGCTCATACATGTTGCAGCCCAGGGCTGCTCCCCACCCCCTTCTCCGTGTATACCCTTCTCTTTAAACTTCCCTCCTTCACTATAGGCAACCTTCCACCCTCCATTCCTCTCTCTTCTCCCTTAGCCTGTGTTCTCAAGAACTTAAAACCTCTTCAACTCTCGCCTGACCTAAAATTTAAGTGTCTTATTTTCTTCTGCAACGCGGCTTAATCCCAATACGAACTCGACAGTGGTTCCAAATAGCCAGAAAACGGCACTTTTGATTTTTCCATCCTACAAGATCTAGATAATTCTTGTCGTAAAATAGGCAAACGGTCTGAGGTGCCTGACGTCCAGGCATTCTTTTACATGTTGTTCCCTCCCTAGTCTCTGTTCCCAATGCCACTCATCCCAAATCCTCCTTCTTTCCCACCCTCCTGTCCCCTCTGTCCCAACCCCAAGCATCACTGAGTCTTTCTAATCTTCCTTTTCTACAGACCCGTCTGACCTCTCCCCTTCTCCCCAGGCTGCTCCTCACCAGGCCGAGCCAGGCCCCAATTCTTCCTCAGCCTCTGCTCCCCCACCCTATAATCTTTCTATCACCTCCTCTCCTCACACCGCGTCTGGTTTACAGTTTCATTCTGTGACTAGCCCTCCCCCACCTGCCCAACAAGTTCCTCTTAAAGAGGTGGCTGGAGCTAAAAGCACAGTCAAGGTTAATGCTCCTTTTTTCTTTATCCTACCTCTCCCAAATCAGTTAGCATTTAGGCTCTTTTCCATCATATATAAAAACCCAGCCCAGTTCATGGCCTGCTTGGCAGCAACCCTGAGACGCTTTACCGCCCTAGACCCAGAGGGGCCCGAAGGCCACCTTATTCTTAATATGCATTTTATCACCCAGTCAGCTCCTGACATTAGAAAAAGCTCCAAAAATTAGATTCTGGCCCTCAAACCCCATAACACAACTTAATTAGCCTCGCCTTCAAAGTGTACAATAATAGAGTAGAGGCAGCCAAGTAGCAATGTATTTCTGAGTTGCAATTCCTTGCCTCCACTGTGAGACAAACCCCAGCCACATCTCCAGCACACAAGAACTCCAAACGCCTGAACCACAGCTGCCAGGGGTTCCTCCACAACCTCCTCCTCCAGGAGCTTGCTACAAGTGCCGGAAATCTGGCCACTGGACCAAGGAATGCCCGCAGCCTGGGATTCCTCCTAAGCCATGTCCCGTCTGTGCGGTACCCCACCGGAAATTGGACTGTCCAGTTGGCCCAAGGCTCTGACTGACTCCTTCCCAGATCTTCTCGGCTTAGCGGCTGAAGACTGACACTGTCCGATTGCCTTGGAAGCTCCCTGGACCATCATGGACGCCAAGCTTTGGGTAACTCTCACAGTAGAGGGTAAGTCCGTCCCCTTCTTAATCAGTACGGAGGCTACCAACTCCACATTACCTTCTTCCAAGGGCCTGTTTCCGTTGCCTCCATAACTGTTGTGGGTGTTGACAGCCAGGCTTCTAAACCTCTTAAAACTCCCCCACTCTGCCAACCTGGACAACATGCTTTTATGCAATCTTTTTTAGTTATCCCCACCTGCCCCGCTCCCTTATTAGGTCGAGACATTTTAACTAAATTATCTGCTTCCCCGACTGTTCCTGGACTACAGCCACACGTCATTGCAGCCCTTTTCCCCAGTTCAAAGCCTCCTTCACATCCTCCCCTTGAATCTCCCCACCTTAAACCACAAGTATAAGACGCCTCTAATCCCTCCTTGGCGACGATCATGCAACCCTTACTATCCCGTTAAAACCTAATCACCCTTACCCCACTCAATGCCAGTATCCCATCCCGCAGCACGCTTTAAAAGGATTAAAGCCTGTTATCACTCGCCTGTTACAGCATGGCCTTTTAAAGCCTATAAACTCTCCTTACAATTCCCCCATTTCACCTGTCCAAAAACCAGACAAGTCTTACAGGTTAGTTCAGGATCTGTGCCTTATCAACCAAATTGTCTTGCCTATCCACCCCGTGGTGCCAAACCCATATACTCTCCTATCCTCAATACCTCCCTCCGTAACCCATTGTTCTGTTCTGGATCTCAGACATGCTTTCTTTACTATTCCTTTATACCCTTCATCCCAGCCTGTCTCTGCTTTCACTTGGGCTGATCCTGACACCCATCAGGCTCAGCAAATTGCCTGGGCTGTACTGCTGCAAGGCTTCACAAACAACCCCCATTACTTCAGTCAAGCCCAAATTAGTTCCTCATCTGTTACCTATCTCGGCATAATTCTCATGAAAATCACGTGCTCTCCCTGCTGATCGTGTCCGGCTAATCTCCCAAACCCCAATTCTTTCCACAAAACAACTCCTTTCCTTCCTAGGCATGGTTAGTGCAGTCAGAATTCTTATACAAGAGCCAGGACCGTGCCCTGTAGCCTTTCTGTCCGAACAACGTGACCTTACTGTTTTAGCCTAGCCCTCATGTCTGCGTGCCGTGGCTGCTGCTGCTTTAATACTGTTAGAGGCCCTCAAAATCACAAACTGTGCTCAACTCACTCTCTAATCTTTGCTGGCAGGGCTATGCTGAACCTCCCTGGGCACTCTCTAATTAGATGTCCTGGGGCCTTCCAATTCTTAGTCCTTTAATACCTGTTTATCTCTTTCTCTTATTCGGACCTTGTGTCTTCCATTTAGTTTTTCAATTCATACAAAACCGCATCCAGGCCATCACCAATCATTCTATATGACAAATGCTCCTTCTAGCAACCCCCACAATATCGCCTCTTACCACAAAGTCTTCCTTCAGCTTAATCTCTCCCACTCTAGGTTCCCACACGGCCCCTAATCCCACTTGAAGCAGACCTGAGACTCCATACTGCCTGCAAAAAAATTTTCGCCGCCCCAACACTTCAACACTTTTGTTTTATTTTTCTTATTAACAGATACAGAGAGGAGTCTGGGAGGCCACATGTTTCAGACTTAAGTAACTTGGTGGCGACATTTAGTGAGATGGGAGGAAACACAGGAAGGGAACGAGGCTGCGTAGAGGAAAAGGGTGATGAACTCGGTTTGGGAAGTGCTGATGTGAATGCCCTACGATGAAAAAAGAAGTCTTCCGATTTCTCCCTCTGAAGTCTTTGCTTCTTCCCTTGGAAAGAACACAGCCTATGACATCAGGTTGAAACCAGGAATGTAGTTCTCTGAAAATACTATGTGTGGGGGTCGGGGGAAGGACTTTACCTTGTCCCATTCATTACCAGGATACTTTCCTCTCTGAAACCTTCGCTCCCTGAACATTTCCTAGATTGTCCATCTTTTCCTCATTTTTAGATTGTAAGCAATGAACTGTTAATAATTTTGTACATTTTGGTTTTACAGCCACGCACTTTATTCTTCTTTGTCAAGTTTAAAGTATTGTAGGGCTTGTGCCTTCCCACATAAAATTTAGAACAAACTTGTCTATTTCCACAAAAAGCCATGTTGGTAGTTTGAGAGGAATTGCAATCAACCTATGGATCAAATTGAGAATTGTATCCTTATGATGTTGAATCTTCCAACCCACGGACATGGTATGTCTCTCTATTAAAATAGTTCTTTTTTTCACTTCTTTCCTCAGAAGTGTGTGATTTTTTTTCAACATACAGATCCTATGCATGTTTTGTTAGATTTATATTTAAATACTTCCTTTGCTCTTAAGAGATTTAAACTGTTATTATGTTTTTGATTTCAGTTTTTACATGTTTGTAGTTAGCATATAGAAATGTGATTGCATTTCTCATGTTGACCTTGTATTCTGTGACCTTGGTAAACTCACCTATTAATTTTAAGAGGTTATTTGTATATTACTTGGCATTTTCTATGTAGATAATCATGTCATCTGCAAATATGGACAGTTTTATTTCTACCTTTCCAGTCTGCATGACTTTTAATTCTTTTTTTGTGTGTCTTAGTATGATGACTAAAATTTCCGTGTTGAATAAGAGCAGCAGGAACTGACACTGTTACCTTGTCCCCAGTGTTAGCTGGAAAACATTCCGTTTTTCACTATTAAGTATGATGACAGCTATAGGTTTTGTGTACATATTCTCTATCAAGTTGAAATAGTTGGACAGGTGGGTCTACAGTCACTTTCATTTGGACTGACCCTGACACCCATCAGGCTCAGCAAATGGCCTGGGCTTTTTTAGTTATCCCCACCTGCCCAGCTTTATTGGGCATCACTGTTGTGCTTTATTGGAACAAGCTATGTATCAAGAATTGTGATTTTCTGTAGCAGTTGATGGAGGAATTTTGACAAAGGTAGAAGAATCAAAGAATGGATTATTGGTTCATTTGAAAGGTGACTCATCCTGTGTCCTTTTGCCATCGGGGGCTCCGCTCTGCTGATGGAGTATTTGAGAACCTCTAGGAATGAGCCCTGGAGAGTAAGAAAGTTCCCCCAGGTTTCTGTGTTCATTAAACCTGTAGAACTCTTGAAACTGTGCAAGATGAAGTAACAATTTTGATCAAACAGAGCTGTCGGTTTCTGTCTTGAGATTACAGAAGTAACTCTACAAGGCCAACATCCCAGGTACAGGAAACACCAGCCACTGGGGCTGCAGACCCAGCATCCTGGTGCAATTTATTTAAAAAAAAAAATCGTAATTTTCCCCTTCAGTTCCCACCCAGATAACTGATGATGAAGCAAAGAGCTAGCTTCCCAAAGCAGGCGGAAAACATCCGAAAGCTTCCAGAACTGTGTGTGCAAACTTCCCGTGCCGCGCTTTGATGTTAGTGAAGCACAATTCCTGCTCCTAAATTGCTCTCTTTTAAGAACAGCAGCTTCTAGAAAAGGAAGGCAGCACCTTCTGTTGCTTTAGTAGTGGACGACCCTATAGGAGTTTCTGTATGAACCGCAAAAGACAATTCTTGATTTCTTCTCAGGCTGAACTTCTTAAACAAATGTATGAGACAGGCCGGGCGCGGTGGCTCAAGCCTGTAATCCCAGCACTTTGGGAGGCCGAGACGGGCGGATCACGAGGTCAGGAGATCGAGACCATCCTGGCTGACACGGTGAAACCCCGTCTCTACTAAAAATATAAAAAACTAGCCGGGTGAGGTGGCGGGCGCCTGTAGTCCCAGCTACTTGGGAGGCTGAGGCAGGAGAATGGCGTGAACCCGGGAGGCGGAGCTTGCAGTGAGCTGAGATCCGGCCACTGCACTCCAGCCTGGGTGGCAGAGCGAGACTCCGTCTAAAAAAAAAAAAGAAAAGAAATGTATGAGACAACTGTAAAATAAGAACCCTTGTGAGATCCAAAAATCTGGGTTAGGAATTGATATTATTAGTGAAAAATTAAAGGGAAAGATGATCAACTATTAATATTCCAGTGTCAGAGAGCTGTGAACAAAGAGTTGAGGGGGAGGTAACTTTAAGATTAAAGTATGCAAAATCTGTTGTCTACTTGTAAGATCATCTTTCCAGATTTATTGATAGTTAATAAAAAGCAGCAAAATTTATAAAAGTGAAAATTTAGCCACTTCTACTTGTAAGCCATCCTTGTTAGAGAAACTCTGTTTACTTACGTCATGTTTACTACAGAAAATGAAAAATGCTCATTTGAGCTATAAAGTGGACTCCATGGTCTCTTAGTAATTAATTTAACCCACGATGATACAGTTAACAGGCTGAGATGGAGGGATAGGGAGATGACAGATACATCCCTGCTACAGGTCTTCAGACCCTAGCTTTAAATTTTGTCCTTACAGACATCTAAACTTTAAGTAAATTGATAATCGTCTCCAACAGGTTAAAAAACAAATGACGTGGGTATGCACCCCATCACGCAGGGCCACTCCCAGCGGAGGGAAGTGAAGCAGCCTCCACCTCCACCTGTCCCTCCACAGGGTGACTCTGCTCAAGTGCAGGCGGACAGAGGTGCTCAGCAGGGGGCAGCCCAGCTCAGCTGCCCGGCTCTGGCTGTTCTCATTCAAATGTGTCTTTTTTAGGGACTGAGTCTGCTAGATGCATTCGTTAGTTAAGAAAATGGAAAATCGTGCAGAACTCTAGGTGAGAACCCAAGGTTAAAACGTGTTCTCAAGAGTCTTTTCCCCTAGGAGTTGAAGTTAATCGGCCTGATCCTGTCGGGGTGGAAAGCTTCCTGTCTTCGATCTGGGACATTGGTCTTCTCCCGCCTCCAACTCTGACTCAGACTGGCACTTACACCGTCAACTCTCCTGGGTCTCCAGCTTGCTGACTGCAAAACTTGGGACTTCTCAGCTTCCATAACTATTTGAACCAATTCTTTATAATAAAAGTCTTTCTCTACATACATTTTATTGGTTCTGGTTCCCTGGGGAGCCCCAGTACAAAGAAATTCAAGACATGATGCACTATGTAAGTGCCACAATGCAGAGAGTTCTGCTGAAGGCATTATGGTGGAGGTGGGAGTCACTCAGGAGGGGGTTCACTCTTCTCAACAGGCAGAGGCCAGGAACAGGGGAGACGTGCTCAGATTCGTATTTCAGCAGGCCCTTCTGCGTGGTAGTAGAGGGCATGCATTTTAGGGTTAATATAGATTACACTATAAAACCATCACTAAAGCACAAGGATCACATTAATGGCATGAAAACATGCCTACAACATGGTTAAATCTAAACAGTGTTTAAATTTTATTATCTAAGTATTGTTATCTCATTTCTACCTCAGTAATCAACTCATGCAGCTCTCTTGTTCATAAAAACTTTTCAAACTTGACCTTATGTTGAGTTCCAAATCCGTCTTAGAAATTTTCAAATAATTGACATTTTAGAAAAGGCATTTTCCATACACAAAAGGCAAATTAGAAATCAGCATCAAAAAGATTAAAAAGCTGCATATTTGGGAACTATAGTCAAAATAATCAATGCTTTAAAAAGCAAATCAGAATACAAATGTTTAAACGTTTAGAACTGAACGAACTTGGATGGGCTTTACATCAGAATTCCTGTGATGGCTTTTTGGAGCCAGGCCACATATGGGAAGCAAACATTCTCTGCCCTTCTGTGTACACTCCTGTGGTGGGTGTTCAGCCTGTTTCCGCTGCTGCCTGTGTGTGAGCAGGGATAGCGTAATTGGCTTTTGACAAAACTTCGGTTCCTATAGTTAGGAACCTAACTTCCTAACTTTAGGAAGTTAATACAAGAATTGAAAAATAAATTTCAGGCATCTAGACATGTAAACTATTTGGATTATGGGCTGCAGAGAATTTCTAGCCAAGACAAATGAACAGCTTGGCTAGCAATCTCATCTTGTTCAGAGTCTTTCTCAAGCAATGAGTTCTCTTCATTGAGGGAATGAACCCAAAAAATATTTGAAAAACTTTATGTATTAGATGACATTCCAGATTCCTGTGGGAAGAAAGTACAATTGGTTAATATGTTTTTAAAATACTGGATCTTACCTCACAACGTATATAAAAATTAATTTGAAAGGTGCAAAAGTTTGCTAGGGCAGTTGTAACAAATACCATAGACTGGTTGGTTTAAACGACAGATATTTATTTTCTCACAGTTCTGGAGGCTGGAAGTCCAAATCAAGGTGTCAGCAGGGCTGGCTCCTTCTGAGGCCCCTCTTGGGCTCGCAGATGGCCATGGGTTTCCTCTGTGTCGTGATTTCCTCTTCATAAAGTGACACCAGTCACACTGGATTAGGACCCACCTTAATGAACTTATTGTACCTTAGTTACCCCTTTAGAGACCATATCCCCAAGTACAGTTGCATTCTGAGGTACTAGGAATAAGGGTTTCACACAATTCAGCCCCTAATATACAGATTAAAGATTTTAAAATTAAAACAGTAAAACTTAGAAGAAATTATAGATAAACTCTTGTTACAGTCTTGTTACAGTAAAGTATTTTCTTAAATAAGACATGAAAGCACAGCCATGAAGTAAAAGCTAGGTCAACCTGACTACTAAAAATAAACAAAAAGCTTCCTGTTCATAGAAAGACCCCATTTTTTACAAAAAGGAAAAGACAAGACATAAATTGGAAAAAGTTATTTGAAACATTTATATTCTTCAAAGAATAAACATTCAAAATCATCTCTAAAGGAAATCAAGAAATAAACTAAAGCAAAAACATTACAAAAATAGGCAAAAGATAGAAATACTCATTTCACAGAAGAAGAAGTATAAATGGCCAATAAACATATTAGTAGACACTGACTTCCTTACTAATAAGGAAATACAGCTTAAAAGCTAAAAGAAGATAAAATTCTACATACGTATGTTGATTGGCACTGTGGTAGAAGTTTATTCTCAACTACTCTGGAAAGCAATTTGGTACCATCTAGTGCAATTGACAATGTGTTAAGTCCTAAGATGCAGCAATTTTACTTCAAGTTGTCCATCCTATAGAAACGCTTTCACATGCACACTGAAACCTACACATAAATGTTTGCATCAGCATTGTTCATAATATCCCCAAACTAAAGAAAGCTAACTGTCCACAACAAAAAAGATGTATGGGTGATCTTTAGTGCATTCAGAAGTAGAAGGAGATTTCTGTAGAGTGGTATAGGTAATGAACTCAATGTTGAACAACAACAAACAAATAGACCAAGTGCCGCCCCAGAAGTCACGCATCCTCCCACATCTGGTGACGGATCCCTGTGCACCTACAAAGCCCACCCATCTCACCCAGCCTGGGACAATGAGGAAGGCCATTCGCTCTTCAGGGATCAGCGCGGCCTCCTCCGGGACTGCATTGCTGCCCGCTGCTCCATCTGCCCAGCGCTGCTTCTGCTCCTCCCTTCTCAGGTGCTGGTCCCAACCACGCCTGCCGAACGTCCTGCACACTAGTCAGGACTTCAGAGCAGACTCCAAGCCCAAGCAAGGGCCCATTGTTCTAGGTAATAGAAAAGGTGGAAATCTACCAAGTTTTCTT